CGGGGTCAGATCTGGAAGCGGGAGAGGAGAGATTAGAGGGCGGCGGAGGGGGAAGGCGGGGGAATTAATCCCTTCTCGCCCTCGTCTCCCCCCGGTAAATCCAGCCTGGCCGCCGCCGGGATTGCAGGATCCCCGGGGAAGCAGGAGGCTTTGGGGGGATCGACCCGGCCAGATCCCACCGGGATCTCCCCTTTTCCCCGCTGGCAATCTCACCTCCTGCTCCGACCGACGCCTCCCTCGCGGCTCCCGGCGGGGGCTCTTTGGGGCAACTCCCCCGATTTGGGGGGCGATTCCCCCTTATTTCGAGCGCTGGGAGCAGCGACCTCCTCCTCTTCCTCCCTCCGCCGTCTCACCCGAAGGCAACGCTCCTCACATTTTCCATTTTGGGCATCTCCGGCGGGGAAAAAAAAATCCGGTTCCAACGGTGCTCCCCCGCCATAAAATAAACAAATTAAACATTTCTCCCCATAACGAGCCCCGGAACGAAATCCCGGTGGAAATATCCCAGGAGAAGCCCTCCGCGTCCCCGTAAATTCCCCCCCTTCCCCCGTCGAGGAGGAGAAAGACATTCGCCGAAGCCCGGACGACGTTTGCTTGATTTTATTAGGACCGACACATTCATCGTATGTCACAACTTCACCGATCGATGAGCTTTGGAAAATAAAAAACCAACCGAAACCGCCAGCGCCAGCCAGCGAGATAATGGGGTTTATATTAATTAAAAAAAAAAAAATAAAATAGATGTTTCCCAGCTGCCAAGGTTATTCTCACGAAGAGGCTAACTAGAACGCCAAAAAAACCCCAAAGAAAACAAACCAAAAAAAAAAAAAACCCACAAAAAACCAAAACCCCAAATAAAAAATAAAAAGGCCAGGAATTACTTTAATGTTCAAAAATAAAATAAAATAAAAGCGGGATATGGCAACGCTACTAGTAAAGTGGAATACATCACAGAAACCAAAGTCTTTTTGCAGGCAACACTGTTCGGAGAGAGGAGAACACTTGACGGGTGAAAAAAAGTGAAGTTCTAAATTATATACAATAGTATCGAAGGGTGGCTTTGAAAAACAGTCTCCTTTAACGTGATTCAAGGTTTAACTTGCCGTTATCTATTGCTTATTTATTCAGATCCGTAATAACACTTAAGAGACGGATGCGTAAAAACGAGACACCGTGGAATAAAGAAAAACCAACGAAAACCCAGCTTTTCGTATGAAAACGCCACGTGTACGCGCTTGTCCGATGTGGAATGTACCTACAGTCGTTTCA